TAAGAAAAAGGAATGTACTCTGGGAGATGAAGATGTCCGATATAAGGCTAAATTTATTGCAAAGGGATTCAATCGAATTCCAAGTGTTGACTACAAATGTATTATCTCTAGTGGTTTCTATTCGAACTTCACTTGCATTGTGGCTTAAGTAGTTAGATGTAAAGATTGTGTCTTTGTATGGAAAACTTGAGGAGATCTTTAACTGTATTACAAATGAAACGAAACAATCTTAAATTCATAAATTAAAAAAAAAAGTTTTTTTTTTCATTTATTCTATTAAGAAAAAGGAATGTACTCTGGGAGATGAAGATGCCCGATATAAGGCTACATTTATTGCAAAGGGATTCAATCAAATTCTACAAATGTATTATCTATAGTGATCTATATTCGATCTTTACTTGGCATTGTGCCTAAGCATGATATTAAGCTTAAGTAGTTAGATGTAAACATTACATTTTTATATGGAGAGTTGAGGACATCTTTAACTATATACAAGTGAAATGAAACAATCTTAAATTCATAAATTAAAAAAAAAAAGTTTGTTTTTCATTTTTTCTCTATTTATTAACATTTTCATTCACACTAAACCTTTAGTACAATTTAGTACAACCACAATCAATTACATAAAGGAACAAACTTCCGATCTCACCATCTACACAACATTACCATCTACACAACATTACCCTGACAAACTCTATTGATAAGCCTATTCTCAAAAACCCCCAACGTAAAACTACAATTCAGCAGAATATCCAAATCCCTTTTATAAATCCCTAGCAAATCAACCCTCCCGGACACATCCGTAAAACTCGTAATGTTCACCGCTCCTTCACCCAACACCACACCCGTCGCATTCGTATCCATCACCACCCTATCCGCCAGCACATCCACCGTCACGTTCATCCGCAGCGTCCGCCGAGGCCTCACTTTTCCGGCGGGCGCGTAGGCTACGCCGACAACCTCGCCGGCGTAGTAGAAATCGGTGGTGCTGTTGCGGAACATGAAGGCGGCGGCGTTGGGATTCTTGATGGAGATATCGGCGGTGAGAGTGGCGTTGAGGGAGAAAGGGTTGGCGAGGGAGGATCCGATGCCGGGGAAGAGGAGGCGATTGATGTGGAGGGAGTTCATGGTGAGCTGAGGATCGTTTACCTTGAAGACTGTGAAGGATAGGATCAGGATGATGAAGCCGAGGAGCACGGCGGCGGAGCCGGAGAGGCTGATTAACCAGAGGGCCAAGCGGTGGGTTTGGAGGAACCGTTTGGTGGGGGAGGAGGGGAAGGGGGAGGAGGGGAAGGGTGGGGAAGGGATGGCGAGCGGTCTTCGATGATCGTATGGATCGATTTGAGGTTTAGCGGCCATGGGAGAGGGAGGGTGAGGTGGATTGCTGATTTTTTTTTAGGGTTTTAATTGGGGAAGAAGGTGGGAGGAGGCCGCAAAGTCAAAAAAGTAGAGCAGAATTGTGTGTTATAAGTAGAACTGAGCCGTTTGGTGCGTTTGGGAACGCGACGCGGCTGCGTTTTTGATTTTCAGATAATGAATAGGCGGTGTATTGGAAGCTTTTGGGAACTCGGATTTTAATTGGAGTTGGATTTTACAGATATACAACTGTTCGATTCTTAGAGATATTAGTTGATGCCCAGCTGGTTGTATTAAAAATGAGCGGTTC